GTCCTATCTCCGTATCTTGTCACTCTATAGGCAGAACAGATTACCCGAGAGGCTGGGCTGTATTAGGAGAAATGTGGCATCAGGATTGGCAGAAGATTCATCAGCAGTCTACATTATACAGATGACACAACCCTGCTCTTAAACTAGGGATTTAAAAAAAAAACCCTCGGGATTTTTAACATTTCTTAATGTGTGTGTTTGCCATCTCAATGTCTTTGGTGAAGTGTCTGTTCATATCCTGTGACCATTTTGCGATTGAGTTTTTTATCTTGTAGTGATGTAGAGGAGCCACTTTTAAGGTTCTATCATAAAACAATGAATCACCTAAAATCATTTTAGCTATTGCTGCTGGAATGTTACAAAGTCAAAATTGGAAGGTTTTTATTCTTGAACTTTTCCTTTTTATAGAACTTACCTTTTATACAAGCCTACATCTCTGAAGATGTAGAATGGTTCATGTTTGCATATAATAAAGCTGATTGTGTTTTGTACAATTTGCAGAGAAATCTTGAAAATATAGAAAGGGCAGTTATTGTATGATTGCACTTTTATAAGATGAGAATTATATGTGTTTATTTCAAGAAGCCATCCAGAAAGGGTTTGAGGTATTGCACACTCAATGATTGAAGACCAGATTAGTTGTGGGATGTTATGAAGGATACCATCCATGAAGAAAGCAAAAGATCATTATAAAGATAGGGAAGAAAGAAAAGAACAAAGTTGATGTCAGAAAAGACTCTAAAAATAGAACTAAAACATCAAGAAACCAAACAATGGGAAGAAATGCTGAAATAAAAGAAGCAAACAGAAGATTTCAAAAGGCAGCTTGACAATATATGATTATTATGGTTATGACAAGAGTCCAGAATGAAGGTTACATAGTGGAGTGTACACGGGGCGGTGGGGGAGAGGGGATTTATACCAATGAAATAATTTTTCTTTTACTTTTCAAAGAGAATGGTGAACTGGGGGGAGAGGTGGCCTGGGAAAAAGGTGCAACAATGAATGTATGGAAATCCAAAATCTCTGTAAACATTCATTAAAATCAATTAAAATTTTTTTTAAACCCAAGATTTAAGCACTTTAAAAGAAACAAAACCCAAAAACTTGCCTCCCTCCTGGTGGGTGGAAGACAGCTTGAGAAGAAAAAGTGCAAAGAGGTGGAGTTAGGAAATAAAAAATAAGGAATTCATTCAACATTCCTCAAGCTTAAAGGACAGATTCAAAGACCTTGAGTTGAAATACTGAATAATGCTATGAGCAAAATCTCAAATGACTTAGGAAGCACCCAAAAATGATTGTAACAACAAAAAAATCAGGAAGTGTAGCATATGTTCAAGAATCAATGATAGTGAAAGAAGAAGTTCAAGCTGCACTGATGGCATTGGAATTGATGGACTATCAGTTGACATGTTTCAACAAACAGATGTAGCCTAGGTGTGAAAAACAATCTGTGCTAAGAAATCTGAAAGGCTGTCTGACTGGAAGAGTTCCATATTTGTTCCAGTTCGAAAAGTGGTGATCCGATAGAATTGTGAATGTGTCAGATGTTATCATTACTTTCACAAGCAAGTAAAATCTTCCTGAAGATCATCCAAAACTAACTAGAACTACTAGAAATTCAAGCTGGGTTTAGAAGAGCACCAGAGATTTTGATATAAATAAAAGATTGAAATTGTCAATAGGTTCGTCTTGATTGGATCCACAATCAGCATTCTTGCTACCTACAGTCAAAAAAATAAAAATATGTATTGTTGTTGTTGTATACTATCAAGTTGGAACTGACCAATAGCTCACCCTCTTTGAGTTTTCAGAGGCAGTTACTTGACTGGGAGGAGATTGCCCAACTTTCTCCCAAAGAGCAGCCAGTGGGTTAGAATTGCATGACTTCAAGATTACAGCACAACTTCTTATCACTAGGCCACCAGAGCTCCCTAAACAAAATATGCATTACATTGGAAAAAATCTTCTGTCAAGGACCTTTCCAAGGTGCCAAGGAGCAATACTGTCAGTTTAAAGACTAATGTGCACCTCATTCAGCCCATGGTCTTTTTAGTTGCTTGATAGGCATCTGAAGATTGAACTCAATAAGGATGATAAAAGAAGAATCAGTCAGTGCCTTTGAGATTAGATGTTGAAGAAGAGTGCAGAATATATTATGGACTGCCAAAAAGAACAAAAAGTATGTATTGGAAAAGTGCAACCAGGGTGCTTTTAGAGGCAAAGATGATGAAGCTTCATCTCACATGCTTGGAAAGATAAAGGGTCAGCAGAAGAGTGGTAGAAGGAATAAGATAGATTGACATAGTAAATATAACATGGGGCTCGAGTATATTAAAAACATTCAGAATGGCACAAGGTAGACAGAGGTTCAGATCCATTGCTCATAGGGTTATTATGAGTCATAGTTGACTCCGTAGCACCTAACAGCAACATCTATTTCATGTAGTTACCCAAGATACTTGTGTTAGGGAAGGGAGAATTAATCTTTAGATAGTAAACATTTTTCATCTTTCAAGATGGGAAAGAGTACCAACTAAGAGAGAGGTGACCTTGGTAAATTATGTTATGTACCATCAAGTCAGAACTGACTCATAGCTGACCCTCTAGCAGGTTTTCAAAGACAGTAAATTGTAGATGAGGTTGCTCATCTTTGTCCTGCATATCAGTTGGTGAACTGTGTGCCTTTTGGGTTGGCAGTGCATTTCCTTAGTACTAAGACACCACAGCTCCCATAGGTAAATTATACTACTTCCACTTTCTTAATTGTTGATGTTGTTATGTGCTGTCAAGTTGAAACAGACATATAACAAACCCTCCAGCAGGTTTTCAGAGGCTGTAAATCACATAGGAGGAGATTACCCATCTTTTTCTTGCTGAGGCAATGGTGGATTTGAACCCTGTATCTTTCTTTGGGTTGAAAATGCAATTCCTTAGCATTAGGTTACCAGGGCATTTTACATAAAGGATAAAACATAAAGAGTTTTTGCAGCAACACGAAGAAAAAAACAAGTGTGGATATATATGTTAATGCATATCTAGGGAAGGATGTTAGGGTGCTTTGATAGTGTAGCTCATAGGGAGTTAAAGTCACAGTCTCTAGTTTAAAGACGGACATTTTCCTCTTGTCCAATTTGTAGCCTCCAAATACCTGCTGGAAGGTCAACTAGGTTCTGACCTGAAAGCAGCGAGTTGTTTATTTGGTTTTGTTTGTTTGTTTGGTTTTGGAATGTAAAGATTTATGTATCTGTAGATGCATGAAAAGCACATCATGCTCGGGAGGGCGGAGGGACAACACAGGACAGGAAGACCCTGATGAAATGGATTGACTCAGTGACTGGGCTAATGGGGGTAGGTGTGTCAGAGTCAGTGAGACTGCCAGACAGGGCAGGGTTCAGAGCTGTTACGCATAGAGTTGCTATGAGTTGTAATCAACTCAATGGCACATAACAACAATATGTGTCCACACACATACATATATGTACATATACTCAAAATGTCCTAACAGTGGAGTCGTAACTGGTTCATAGCTGACCTTCTAGTAAGTTTTCAGAGGCTGACAGTTGTACAGGAGGGGATTGCCCATCTTTCATCTGAGGAACCATTTGTAGATCCAAACCCCTAGAAAGAGGAACCACCTTTCAGTTAACAGCACAATTTCCTCTAGACTACATCATCAGAATTTCATCATAGAGATGGATTTGTGTACACATATTTTCATAGTTGGCACAGTTATGATTACTTCTTTGACATATCAAATCCCTTACATTATTAATTTCCTGAGTTTGAAATTTTAAGACCATAGGCCTTGTGGTTGAATAGGTTGATATGTTGTTGTTGTTGTTGTTATGTGCCATCAAGTCGTTTGTGACTCATAGTGACTCAATAGCCCTAAACCCTGCTCTATCCTGTGCCAGTCACATTGCCTCTGACACACCCATCCCAATTACCCCAGTCACTGAATCAGTCCACCTCCTGTGTTGATATAGTTTAGTTTATTAAGTTCATGTTCTAATTACAATTTTTACAACTCCTACTTTCTGGAGTAAGATAGAAAGAAGGAAGATATACTTAGAGAAGAAACTGGTCCATAAGCTCTCTGACCCAAGACCAGAGCTAGATTGCACCCGGCTGCCTCCACTGACCATTTGGATCAGAGCCACAGTAGCTGAATCCTGAGAGAACGGGGGGAAAGTGTGGAACAAAGCTCAAATTCTTACTTCACAAAGTCCAGTCTTCTTGGACTAGAGACTGGGGGACTTCTCAAGATATTCTTCAACCTTTGAAGAGAATTAAATTTAGCCCCTAAGGTTAATATTGTTTAAACTAAATAACTGAGTGGCCTATAAAATAAAATGGAGTTCTGGTGGCTTAGTGTAAGGAATTGCAGTGCCGATGCAAAGGTTCAAATCTACCAGGTGCTCCAGTCTCCTCCCATGTTATTTAATACCTCTGAAAACCTGCTGGAGGGTCAATTTGGACTTGATAATATACAACAACAGCCAATAATATATAATTTAGGGATACAACAGTCATATTAAAAATGATAATCTGTAAGAGACCTCATGGCCAACATTTATCCTAACACAGAGCTGAGAGGTAAAATGACAGAAGCTAGGTTACCAGAAAGGGACAAAAGTTTCATCTAAAGAGAATACTGACACTATAAGAAATGTAACCCCTGTCCTTAATAGTTTGTATACAAGAAGCTGCACTGCAATCCCAAAAGCTTGTGGTTTGAATCCACCAGATGCTCTGCTGGAGGAGGGGCAATCTCCTCCTGAGCCAGTTGCATCTGACTCGACAGTACAAAACAAAGAGAAAAGAAAATTAATTTGTGTACAAATTGTTAAATGGGAGCCAGAACTACTGTGCAAACTTCCACTGAAAGCAGAATAAAATGTTAGAAAATATTTTGTTTTGTAAACAAAACCCAAAAACCTTTGTATAGTTATTTCTCATTACAAAAGAATGTCATATATTCATTCTTTCCATTCCAGAGGGAGAGAGGTTGGATGCCAAAATGAAGAGACTTGAATCAAAGTATGCTCCACTACACCTTGTTCCTCTGATTGAAAGACTAGGGACCCCTCAGGTAGGTGTATCCTGAAACTGTGGCTGTTGCCAGCCTGAGAAGCAGGATCAGGGTAGGGTATAGGGCTTCAGAGCAGTGTCTGATTTTCTCTATCCAGTAACCTGTGTACCAAGCTTAACAAAATGCATAAGATTATTACTGTAAAAATGCAAAGACCAAAAGGGGAAAGGGAGCTGAGGGTGGTGGTAGAGGCAGGGGAAATCATGAGGTTTAAGAGTTGGTGGGCGGAGAGAGGGGTGAAGAAATTAGGAAAGATCCAGTGGGGACTTGAAAAGGTGAAGTAATGGTAAACATAGATCAGTGGTCATTAATTTTATAAAACACAGTATGTGGGAATGATCATATGAAACACAATGTATATCAATTTTTATGCAAACTAATATAAATAATTTAAAAACAGCAGAAAGCTTGTTCATGAGAATATCAAATATGGCTCTTAAATTATATGCCTTAGAACATCCACCTAAGACTTCCACAGTAAGTATCGTTTACTATTTATTGTCTACCTAAGGAAGGCTTTCCACATGCTAGATTGGCTTACACTAGGTCAGAGTTTCTCAACCTTGCATTGTTCTATTTTGGGCCATATAGAATTCTTTACTGTGGGAGGCCATCCTATTCCTTTTTAAGATTTTGAAAAATGCCTTTGGCTGTCATCAACTTGGTGTTAGTAGTAGCTCCTGCAGTTTTGACCAACAGAACTATAGTTGTTTTCTGTTTCTTCACTGAGTAACTTTCCTTGACTGTGAAATAGAAATGAGAGGTGACATACTTACTTTCTTGGTGTTAGTTTTCCATTAAATCATGAAGCAATAGCAGTACTCCAGATTCCTGCTGTGATCTGTAATGTTCAACCACTTTCTGCAGCAAATTGCAATAGCAAGAGAAGGGGACTTGCTGACCAAGGAGCGCCTCTGCTGCGGTCTGTCTATGTTTGAAGTTATCCTGACTCGAGTTCGGACCTTTCTGGATGACCCCATCTGGCGAGGGCCTCTTCCTAGCAATGGGGTCATGCATGTAGATGAATGTGCTGAGTTTCACAGGCTCTGGAGCGCAATGCAGTTTGTCTACTGCATTCCCGTGGGAACACATGAGTTTACAGTTGAGTAAGTATGCTTAATCTTATACTTTGGATCACAGTACAATTCCATTGGTGATAGAGAAGCTTGGGGTGGAAGCTGGTGTTCAACAAATAAAGACGACTGCATTTCTGTGGACATAGACCAAAACCTTACCAAGATGGCCTGGGAGCTTTAATACTATTTCACTAAAATCTCATAATGCAAAAGAAATAACTCAAGGATATTCTTCAGGGATCCTCTGAGCCTGTTAAAATTGTATATCAAGTGTGTATTGTTCTCAGAAGAAGTCCATAGCTTTATGGAGTTATTCTTCCCCCCAAAACTATTAAGAGTTAGGAAGATTATTATTAATATTATTATTATTATTCTAGGGGAACGTAATAAAGATGTTTTAAAAAAAACAGGGAAAGTGATGTTAGAATCATTAAAAACTTTACATTTGACTCTCCATTTATTTATTCTCACTTTATAGACAGTGTTTTGGTGATGGACTCCACTGGGCTGGGTGTATGATCATTGTACTTCTTGGGCAACAGCGACGCTTTGCTGTGCTGGATTTCTGTTATCATCTCCTTAAAGTCCAGAAACATGATGGCAAAGACGAGATTATAAAAAATGTGGTAAGTGGAAGAAAATTTTATGTTGAAGTTAAACAAAAATTTTACTAAAAATTTTATTCCCAGGAATGTTTTCCCCACAGTATATAATGTGCTACCAATTAATTTACTAAAAAAATTTAATGTAAATATTTGGAAGTAAAGCTATCTGGCAGTTAAATTAGTCCCATTTTTCTTTGTTTTCAAAATACAAGTACAATGTCAAATCTCTCTCATGCTTCTAATCAAATGCAAAAGACCACTTTCCTTCTGTCTTCTCTGCTTCCAGTTGGAAAAAATTCCTTGCTCATATGATTAGATTAATAATCTAGGCTATTGTCCTTATTTTTAAGTTCCATAACCTTAGTAACAACTGAAGAGGCACTTTTACTTTGTAATGTAGAATATTCACAGGTTCTGGGGACTTGAATAAAGATTGTTGGGACCACTCTCCTTCCCTAACCTTTCATTTCCTTGACTTTCTGGGGTGAAATCAGAGCACTTTATTCATAAACATCTTTCGTTCACTTTAACTTTGATACAGAATTTTTTAAATTTCAGCCATTTTATTTCTAAAAGCTTGCTTTGGTAGCCCAGTGGGTGGTGGTGATGTGTAAACAGAATCCCTGTGTGAGTATAAATTTCACTGGAGCTTGGTCACTAGAGCTGATTAAGTCTTGTCTCCAATGGAGCCCCCAGTAGGTTCGTAACACCAGCCAGCCCTCTGCTTTGCAGCTGAGAATGTCACCATGGTATTCCTTTGAGATCTGCAGTGGTTCATTTTTCCTTCTTAGGATTTTAGACTTTCTTTACACATTTTATATTTTGTCTTACAATTCTAGTGTCTGAAGGTGCAAAGCATGGAACCCCTTTTTAGTAAATAATTTGGCTTTTGTTTGTTAATGCTTCCTGCCATCTGGAGGGCTGATGCTAACTAACCCTTAGGGGCTATCATGGATGTCATCATGGCAACAAGATGAGGCCAAAAATAGCCTTGGAAGATGGAGGCTTACTGAGCTTCTGCCATGTCTGGTGGTATAGTCCATAGCATGGCCAGGTATTTCCAGCCATTCAGATTCACCAATGGTACTGAGGAAGAAAGATGGGCAGACTCCTCCTGTTAAAATTTACAGCCTCCGAAACTCGTGGAGGGTCATTACGAGCTGCATTTGGCTCAAAGGCCATGAATTTATTCCAGAGTGGGATCCCAGAAGCATAGAATCTTTGTATGGAACTCTGCTTGTTTATATCCTTTCTTCCATGGCTAAAAATAGCCCTTTCCCTGTAGTTTGTAAATTACCTCATGGAATTAGAATTGTATCGCAAAATAGATGCAGGGCAGGCATCTGCTGGCCTCATCCCACATGAATGGGTATTACGGCTTCAAACCAATTTATTACTTTTCTATCTTATTACATGGGATTATGATCTACATTTTTCACAAAGCTCTGATTACAATGAGAAGGGCTTTCCTAGAGCTGCTGTTGTCTGAACCAACCAAGGAAAGGAAGCTGAAAGTTGTACAGGGTGTAATTGGTGTGTGGAGTGAGATTTATAATTCATCACACATTTGGCATCAGAAATACATGAGCTCTGCTTGCTTGGACTGATATTGGTGTTGACTGCAGAAAGCCTCAATATCTAAACCTTGTACTTCTTTTCTGAAATGCTTCCTATGCATTAGATTGTTGATTTGCAAGTTCTTACTTATTTGAACCTAATATAAGTAGCTTTCCTTTCAAGATTTAGTTTGTATTTACTCATCTCCACAAGCTGTTACCAACCTAGGGCCATTTTAGCTTAACCAGAGGATCCTGGCTTTCTGAGTTATCAGTTAGTGGTACTGAGTACTTTTTGTCTGATTTCCTGAGCAATTTCCAGGTAATAGTGCTACTAATCTAGTCTCCTCACACCATTGCTGCCTAACGAAAGCCCTCCTTTATGCTTTCTCTATTGTAGGAAAACCCAGCCCTACTTTTTAACGTGTTTTTTTTTTCTGTTTTCTTTCATGTGTGTTAGTATCTCAATCTTACTAGCAGAAGGGTCTGTCAGAGTATCTGTCCATAATGCCAAGCTGAATGTCTTAATTAGGACATCTTCACATTTTTGCAGCTTTAGGACACCCACCAACCAAGCTGCACATCCTTATGGAGCAGACTGCTCCCTCTCCCTCCCACAGAGCAGCTCATGGGTCTGAACTGCAGACTTTTTTGGTTAACACTTCAAAACTTTGCCATCAGTGCTCCTTCTCAGTCTGCAGTTGGTGAATGATAAGGCCTCTGTTGTATAAATGAGTAAATCTGTTAGTAACATAAAACCCCAAAAAAAAAGGTGTTTATATTAAAAAGTTGTGTCCTAATAGTTGCATTAAAGATGGTACATGAGTCTTTGTCATTTAACTCCTGAGAAAATGAGAACGCTTATGTTTGAAACACAAGCAGTTTATACAAGTACATATGTTTTGAAATGAACACATTCTCATTTTAATTGTAGCCTTTGAAGAAAATGGTGGAGCGAATTCGCAAGTTCCAGATTCTGAATGATGAGATTATCACCATTTTAGACAAGTACCTGAAGTCAGGAGATGGAGAGAGCACACCTGTGGAGCACGTGCGCTGCTTCCAGCCCCCAATCCATCAGTCCCTGGCCGGCAGCTGAATGCAGGGTGTCCCCAGCCAAGCCAAGGTGCTCAAGACCAACTTGAGTGTTGTCATTCCATAAACAATTCAGTGAGATTTTTAAGGAACTATTTTTCTGTCTCTGCCTATTAGAGTATGCTTTTCAATCTAAAAACATAATTTTATAAAATTGCCATATTTTTCTAGATTCAAGTGTATTTGCTTTTCGCTAATTAGGAAGGAAGTCTTTGGAAATTGGGTGATGATTGCTGCAGAATTCTTTTTTTATGGATTGTGCTAATACTTTGTGAGGTCGGGAAATGCTGCTATGCTGTTTACCCCTTAGCAAAAAGGTTAAGTAATGTTTAGAAACATTTAAGACACTTAATACCTTACTAACCCTAACTGTAATAAAATCTTTAACTAAAATGAAACTTAGTGATTTATTGCTTTCATTTATGAAGTTTTTTGATGGCCTTCTATGAGTAATCTTTTGTCATTGTGCTGTTTGCCAGCCTTTTAAAAAAAAGTACCCTTGGTTTTTCTGCCGTCCCAAGTCTAGTTTTGAAAAAAAAAGTTATAAGGCATGACTTAAATGTTAAGAAACAAAATTAATGAAGCCTTTTTCTTTGTTGATTTACTAACCTCAGGCTCTTGCCTTAGATGAGGGACCCTCCTATTAACATGACACAGACTAGGCCTGGAGGCATTGTAGCTGGGACAGTATCATGACACCACTTGAAAACAACACTTCTCATCTACACCTTTTTTTTTAGCTTTGCACTTCCAAAGGGGTGAAATTAAAGCCATGCAAAAGAATTTTAGACTTGGTGTGAAGCTGTGGTCAGCAGTATAAAAAGCAGGAACTGAGGACAAGGGGTGGAAAGCCTTTGAGGGATGCTGGAATTATGTGAACTAGCTCACAACTTCTCTGTCCAAATGAAAGCAATTAGTTCCCCATTTTAGTCAAGGAAATAAGAATTGAGAAAGCTAAAGCCAAATTTTGAAATATTAAAACGAGTGTCTTTGAATGGACAGTATGCCAGTCTACTTGCTAATAGAACAAATATTATTAACTTTTTCATCTTCATGGAGCAGACCTTATACATTATTTGGAGATCTGTGACCTTACATAATCTTAAATGGTTTTCTACAGATGACATTTTTCCATAATAGTAGGAATAACTTCTAGTTGCCTTTGGAAATTGAACACTGAAGAGGCATAATCATATATGGTACAGAAAATAAAGCAAATGAATTATGCTGACAGTACTAACAACAAAATTACATGAGGGTATAGAACGATTTACAGAATGTTGCATTTCATGCCTCTCTCATTTCCATCAGTTTGGAATACAGTCATAATTTTAATGGGCTCTTGGGAAGCTACAAATCACATGTGAGGAGACTGCTCATCTTTCTTCCTCAGAGCAGCTAATAGATCTGAACTTGCGTCAGCAGCACAACACCCAAGGAACTATGCCAACAGACAGCCTTTGCTTTTCATAGTGGGAACAAATAGCCAGAATTTTGCTAGAGATTAAAGAATGTTATTCTTTAAATTCCCAAAAAACAGTTGCAGTCATGTGTACAAAATAGAACTGACAGCCACCTGGCCAAGTGACTGCAAGAGATCCATATTCCCATTCCAAAGAGGTGATCCAACAGGGTGGAAATTATCAAACAATATCATTAATAACACAAAGGAGCAAAATCTTGCTGATTATCCAGAAACAACTAGAACAATACATTGACAGAGAACTACCAGAAGTACAAACTAGGTTTAGAAGAGGCTGTGACACTAGATACATCATAGCCAAAGGCAGATGGATCTTGGCTGAAAGCAGAGAATACAAGAGTCTGTCTTTCATTGTCTGTGCAAAGGCATTTGACTGCATGGATCACAACAAATTGTGACTCACCTTTAGGCAAATGGGAATCCCAGAACACTTTATTGTGCTCATACAAACCTATATTTGGACCAGGAAGCAATTGTTACAGAAAGGAAACACTGCATAGTTCAAAATCAGGAAAGGTGTCAAGGATGCATCTCTGTGGTCTCCAAAACTTTTCAGTCTATATGCAGAATTTGGGAAGCAGGACTTTATAAGGAGGAATGTGGCATGAGGACTGGAGGAAGACTCAGCAACCTGTGTTAATGCATGACACAGTCTTGCTTGCTGAAACTGAAGAGGACCCGAAGTGCTTGCTGCGGAATGTTAAGGACTGTGCATTGTCCAATTTGGATAAGACAGAGATTCTCACCACTGGCAGCATCATGATAAATGATGTGATTGCAATTTTTAACAGTTTTAGCTTGGTTAGATCCACAATCAGCACTCTTGGCACTGTTATGTGCGATCGAGTCGCTTGTGACTCATAGCAACCCATAAGAGCCTTAAACATCGTTCTATCCTGTGCCACCCTCGCCATTTCAAACACACTCATTCCCACCGCTCCAGTCACAGAATCGATCCATCTCATCAAAGGTCTTCCTCTCCTGCGCTGCCGCTCCACTCTGCCAAACATGATGTCCCTCTCCAAAGACCAGTCCCTCCTTGCAACATGCCCAGAGTAGGTCAGACGAAGCTTCAGAATTCTTGACTCCAAGGAGCATTCCGGCATCACCCTCTCCAGGACAAACCTGTTTGTTCCCGTAGCAGTCCATGGTATATTCAACACTCTACTCCAGCACCACAGCTCAAAGGCATCAATTCTCTATCATCCCTAGTCACTATCCAACTCTCCGATGCATAGCACGTAATTGCTAAGACTATTGCCCAGACCAGGTGCACCTTAGTCTCCAGCCTGACGTTGCTCTTCAGTACTCTTGAGAGGTCCCTCACAGCTGACTTTCCCAATGCAATTCGTCTCTTGATTTCCTGGCTACTGTTACCAACAGTGTTGACTGTGGAACCAAGTAAACGAAAACTGGTAACTATCTCAATCTTGTCACCATCCATACTGATGCTGCCAATTGGCCCAGTGGTGAGAATTTTTGTTTTCTTGATGTTGAACTTCAGTCCATACAGGAGGCTGCAGTTCTTGACCTTCTGCAGCAAGCGCTTCAGTTCCTCCGCAGTTTCAGCAAGCAAGGTTGTATATCATCAGAATAACGCATGCTAGGGGAGCTCTGGTGGCCTAGTGGTAAGGAGCTGCAACTACAATCCCAGAGGTACACAGTTCGAATCCACCAGATGCTCTGCCGGGAAAGGAGGGACAATCTCCTCCTGTACCAGTCAGATCTGATTTGACGGTACACTCACACAAAAATAATAAAAATTAAAAAATTTTAAAAAAAGAATAATGCATGCTGTTGATGACTCTTCCACCAATCCTAATGTCACATTCCTCCTCCTACATCCCAGCATCTCAGATGATCTGTTCTGCATACAGATTGAAAAGGTATGGAAACAAATTTACTCTCAGAGTATTGAAGAACAAGGATGTCAGTCTAGATACTAATGAGTTTGGTGCTGGAGAAGAGTATTGAACATACAGTGGACTGCCAAGAGAACTAAATTTGGAGAGTGTGAAACCAAATTTCTACTTGGAGGCAGGGATTTTGAAGCTCTGTCTGACACACTTTGGATATGTTGTCTGGAGGGAGGGACCAGTCCTTGGAGATCATACATGGGAGGGTGGAGGGTCAGTGCAGGAGAGGAAGACCATGTACAAAATGGGATGACTGGTAATGGGGGCAGGTGTGCCAAAGACAGTGCTACTGGCTCAGGATAGGGCAGAGTTCAGAGCTATTGTGCATAAGGTTGCTATGAGTTACAGATGACTCGATGGCACGGAACATCACCACAACAGTTTTCTAGACTTGTGACCCTTCTCAAGTAGATCATGAGCTTTTCTTGTGATTTATATTTGGGTAGGTGTGAACCACCAACCTTTCATTAAGTTGAGCTGTTTAAACCACCTAGTGACTTGAGAGTAAGAGGTGGTATTTGTTGTTCATTCTCTACTGAAAGCATAGAATATGGCCTAAAGAGGAATACAGTTCTTAAGGAGTTTATAAGATCTAATTATAAGCAAATAAAATGTAGTGAACCCTAATATATAATCTCAAATGTTATAATATAATGTTTAATTAACTTATGCATTTACAGTGGAGGACTATCACCAAAAGGGTGACAAGTATATAAAGCAGATAGATAATAAATCTCTGAGATGACCAATACAAAGGTTGTTGTTGTTGTTATGTGCCATCGAGTCGTTTCCGAAAGCTCTCTCCTAAAAAGTCCCTCTCTTTAGGGGAAAACACCAGAAAAGATTTGATGGGATAAAAAATAATAAATTGGGAAAATTGGAATTTATTCCATGAAATATAGAGATGGAGGGAAAACTTCTGATAAAGCTGATGAGGCAGTGTCTGTGCCACCTTGGCTCGGCCAGGCTCTCAGCCTGCTCAAGGGCAGACTCCTGAGTTTTGGCCTACTGGCTATGAAGCCTTGGCAGGACCAGCAGAATGGTACAGATGTAACCCATCTTCTTTTTTTTTTGTAACCCATTTTCTACTTACCATCCAGCTGGTAAACATGTTCACTATAGCACCTGTTTGGTGTTTTTTGTTTTAAGGCCCATGAATGGTAAAGAGCTGAAAGGTCTTGAGTTAAGTTCTGATGGTATATATAGTGATACAAACAAATTTTTAAGCAAATTAAAATAGTTGGTACAAAGAAACCATATTTTACAAACATTACCTTTTCCCAAGCACTTGGAATTTGTTTCAATGTCTTTTTATTATAAATTAAATTTAAAAAATAATCCTAGCTATCAAATGTCATTTTCCAAAGTAGTAAAAAGGCATAAATGATAGATAACTGAAAAAGATCTGAAAAGTACAAGCACTGATGTAAAATGATAAACTGCAGACATCAACTGAGAAATGAAAATGAAGCTGGCTGAGCTTAAGAGTGCTCAGTCTCCAAAGAGGGAAGAGAGCTGATTTAGCATACTCATTTTGAGAGCCATCAAGTGAATACAGGAAATCTTATGTCACAGCCTGAAAGTTTTGTTAGATTATTTATTTGTTTGTTTGTTTGTTTGTTTATTTCTGTGGTTTTCTCCTTTTTGTGATCTGGAATGAATGTTCCTTCATGAGTTAACTCTTAAACCAGCAGTTCTCAAATGCTGTTGTGTAACACTGAGTCAGAACTAAGTCACAGTCAGTAGGGTAAACCAAAGGAAAATAAGTGGAAAGACTTCATTATTTTCCAACTCAAAAAGCCTATAATGGTCGAGGACATCAAGATGTACACTTCATATTTTTTTTCACTGATGCAAAAAAGAAAGCATTTTTATAGGTTTTAAACTGTCACTAGTCCATTTGGTTTCTGGTGAAGGAATCAAATTCTGTAATAATAAACTAATAAAGAAAACAGCCAGGTACTGAGAGCACTGTAGATGTAAGAAAAGTGACTTCTTTGTCCAAATCAGAGAAACCTTTAAAAAGATTGTCTTCAGAAAATGTTGAGGACGTTGCCTTTTCAGACATATCCTGGTATTGATTCATTTTATAGCAGAATTACAAATTAACCTTATAAATTATCTCTCCTAAAAAGCTGCCAGATTTCCATTTCTTCGGGAAATATTTTCACAACTATGTTGTTCACAGATTAAGGCTTCTTCACTATTAAGAATTTCATACATATTTGATAGGTTGCCATTCATTGCTTTTTCATCTTTTCGGAAAGACACAGGCAGACTTGCTAAACTAAAACTGGTGTCTTTAAAGGCATGCAACAAGAATATTCCTACAATTATTGTAAAGAAGCCACTGAGAGTGCCAATAATGTCATCAACAGGCATATCTTGCCACTCCTTAAAGAGAATAGCTGAACATGTTAAAACTGATGTTGTAAAGAATACATAATATATTGGAGTCACGATGGAAGTGTTAAATATATCCAGGGCTCTGTTTAAGTAATTAATCTGTGTGCTCACACAGACGATGAGGCTCAGCAGAAGAACCCAAGCTAGGGGATGGTTCAGCACATGCTTTCCTGTAAGTAACTCCTTGATGGCAATGCCCAGGCCTTTCACACAGGACACAGAGAATGCTCCGATGATAGAACAGATGGTTATGTACACAAGGATATTTGTCTGTCCATGGCGAGGTCCCACCACAAAGATTAATATCAAGGACACAATGACCACAAGTGTTGCAAAGACCAAAAAACCTAGGGGAGACAAAAAAAAAATAAAAGTTGTATTCAGTCAAGTTTTTATACGCTAAGGAAAACTGAAAACCCAGAACTGTCCCCCACAGGAAGGTGTATGTCCCAAAATAAAAATTCACTTGCCCTAGAAAGGAGTATGCCCAAAATTGAAAGTAAAGCCATGTCTTGGAAGATTAAAAGATGCCTTCATAGTCACCAATTGTGATACTACTAGTATTTTTAAGTAGCATTATACATTCAAATTAGTTATTAGGCTAACAGGTTTTTACCACCTCCCACCCATTTGAGTACTCAGGAGCTTCTGGGGAGAGGTGAAGAGCAGTGAGAATAGGAACAAGAATGAGTGGAAGAGAAACCACATGCATCAATTTGTAAATAATGAATGTAAAACCTATTGCCATCACATTGTTTCTGACTTGTTAGGTGCTGTGCTGTCAAGTCTCCTGTGACTCATAGCGACAGCCTTAAACTCTGTCCTATTCTATACCAATCTCATTATCTCTGACACACCTACCCCCATTACCCCAGTCACTGAATCTATCCATCTCAAGGAGGGTTTTCCTCTCCTACGCTGTCCCTCCACTCTCCCAAGCATGACCTCCCTCTCCAAGGACCTGCCTCTCCTTACAACATATCCAAAGTATGTCAGACAAAGCCCCAGAATCCTTGCCTCCAAGGAGCTTCACCCTCTCCAGGACAAACCTGTTCATTTTCCTAGCAGTCCATGGTATATATTCAATACTCTTCTCCAACACCACAGCTCAAATGTATCAATTCTTCTCCTATCACTCCTAGTTTTTGTCCAGCTCTCCAATACATAGCAAATGACTGCAAAGACCATGGCGTGTATCAGGCACACCTTCGTCTCCAGACTGACATCTTTGCACTTCAGCACTTTAGAGAGGTCTCTAACCATAAACTTTGCCACTGCAATACGTCTCTTAATTTCCTAGCTGCTGGTGCCAAGAGTGTTGACTGTGGAGCCAAGCAAACCCAAACTGAACAATCTCAATCTCTTCATCTTCAATCATGATGCTGCCAATCAGCCCAGTGGTGAGAATCTTTGTTTTCTTGATACTGAGTCTCAATCCATACTGAAGACTGCAGTCCCTTACCTTCTACAGCAAGCACTTCAGGTCCTCATCAGTTTCAGCAAACAGGATTGTGTCATATGCATAAGACACTAGTGGTTGGAAGTGGAACACATAGATATTGACAAACTAGGTATTGGTGAGATGAGATGGACTGGAATGGACATTTTGAATCAGATGATCATATGATCTATGCTAGAGATGAAAAGAGAGGAAAAATGGGGTTGTTTTCATAGTTAAAAAAGTCCTTTCTAGATGTGTCTTGAAATAAAATATTCTGAGTGAAAGGATAATACCCATACGCATACAAGGAAGTCCAGTGAATACCACTATCATTCAAATATATGCACCAACAACCAGAGCCAAAGAAGAGGAAATAGAAGATTTCTACCAACTTTTACAGTCAAAGATCAAGCTTTTACAGTCAAAGATCAAGCAAGCATGCAATCAAGATGCATTAATAATAATGGGTGATGGAATGAATGCAAAAGTAGGGAACAGAGAAGAAGCAGGATCAGTAGTTGGAAAGCCTGGTCTTGGTGACAGAAATGAAGGTAGATATAGGATGATAGAATTTTGCACAATCAATTTATTTGTTGCAAATACATTTTACAAGAAACATAAACGCAGGTGGTACACATGGATTTCACCTAATGGTATGCACAGGAATCAGACAGATAACATTTGTGGAAAGAACTGCTGGAGAAGCTCAATATCAGCTGTGAAAAACTAGGTCAGGTGTTGATTGTGGAACAGATCACCAACTACTCATATGCACGTTTGAGCTGAAGCTAAGGAAAGTTAAATCAAGCTCATGGGAACCAAAATATGACCTTGAGTCTATCCCACCTGAATTTCAGAACCATCTCAGGAAAATGTGTGAGGTGTTTAACACTAATGAGCAAAGACCAGATGAGTTACGGGAAGATAGCAAGAATATCATCCAGGAAGGTTGCAAAAGGTTGTTTCCAAGACAGAGGAGGAAGAAAAGACCAAAATGGATGCCAGAGGAGACTCTGAATATTGCACTAGAGTGCCAAGAAGCCAAAGCAGAGGGAAGAAATCAAGACATTAAGGAGCTGAACAGGAGATTTCAAAAGGCAGAGCGACAAGACAAAGTAAAGTATTATGATATGTGCAAAGAGCTGGAGTCAGAAAATCAAAGGGGCCGAGCTCGCTCAGCATTTCTTAAGCTCAAGGAACTGAAGAGAAATTCAGGCCTCAAGTTACAATACTTTGTGCAGAATATTAAATGATCCTACAAGTATTAAAAGAAGATGGAAAGAATATACAGAGTCATTATACCAAAAGAATTCGGCAGACACAGAAGAATTTTACTCAAACAACGTAAGAGTCTGTGGTGATAAAGGAAGTTCAAACTGCTTGCAAAGAATTGGCTAAGAATAAGGCCCCAGGTATACCAATTGACTTATTTCTGACTTCTAGGAGTTATAAATTCTGTTCTAAAAGTTGTTGTGTTGGAAATGACTTATAGTTGACCCTCCAGTAGGTTTTCAGAGGAAGTTTAATTGCAAAGGAGAGTGCCCATCTTTGTCTGAGGAGCAGCTGGTATATTTGAACTGTGCTCCTTTGGAATTGCAGGGCAATTCTTGGGGACAATTGCCAAGATAAACAGCAACTCAATTGGAGAACCTGAATAGCATTTAGGAGTTCTGACTAAACATTATGAACTAAATAACAGAATAGCTAATAACTAAGTAACATATATTTTACTCATCAATTTTTCCTTACAACTACCATATAATATAGTTGCATAGCTTTATTTTCATATAAGAAAAGGAGGCATAGAAAGTTACATTAATTTAATCTGTTTACTCCACATATTCCATGTTATGAACTGAATTATGCCCACCGCTTCAATATGCTATTCCTCACTGCTGCTCCTGTGGATGTATCTCATTTGAGATAATTTGTTATGTCAATATGCTACCAGGGAATATGTATGTATGTCTTTTTTAAACCTAACCACATTTTAGAATTAAAAGCATATTACGCACAGATGCAACCAAGCATTTTTGGGAAAAGACATTCCATAGAGATTGCCAAAAACATTGAAAACACTAAAGAAGCTGGAGCAGGGTTTTCTCCAAGAGACAGACCCTTCCCTGGGAACTGCACCCTGAATTCTGCTTAACTCTAAGAAAATAGATGTGTTAAAATCTACCTACTTTTAATAGTTCTGGTATAATAGCAATAAGTAAGACCCTTTACTACTAAGATAACAGTGGGATTTTTTAAAAAAGGCAACTATTACACAAAACACAACAGAAAATAGCAACTATTTTGGAAGTCAAAGGCAGACCATAACTAGTATCTAATTTTCTTTAAAAGCTGCTATTCTGAAAGAATTATGTCCCCAGGGTTTTCAATGGCCACGGGTTTTTTTGGAAATAGATCATCAACAGCCTGTTTTCCCAAGACACTTCTGAGAGAATTCAAACATCCAAATTTTAGGTTAGTAATAAAAGGCTTAAAGCAAAAGCCTCCATCAGCAGTCACTAGAAATTAGAAACCAACTAGAATCATAACACTCACTTGCACAGTCCTGATGAGTGAGAACTAAGAGCTGGCTGGCTACCCAGCAGATTTTCAGAAATTATACACAGCACCGAGGACACTGCCCATCCTTACCTCCTGGAGCCGCAGGTGAATTCAAACCACCAGAGAGGCTTTGCTTTTGGATGAGCAGTGCAAATCCCTACAGACTATTGCACCAGAACTCTCATTATGGACAAAGTATCTTTGGAAGTAGAAGTCTAAGCTAGAAGTCTATAAAGGAAGAAAAAGAGCCCCAAGGTCCTGCCCAGCCTACATACTTGCCCCTACTCTAATGATGCTATAAATATTACCACCATCCCTAGAAAAATAAGAAAAACTATTTAGGACTGTATCAGAGGGACTCTAATGAAATATCAGACTGTAATTATGCAACGAAACCCTGTTAATGTTAAACTATAAAAGGAAAACAAAAATTTAAGAAAACAAGAATACTCCAAAGGAAACTACCCATTAATGCAAGGTCACCCAAAGGCAGTCAGAACTTCATTTGACAGAACCCAGAGTAATGTTAAATTCCCAGAAGCAAGCCAAACACCTCTGACTGGGCAACTGTCAATCTTAAAACAGGAACTAAGGGGAGAAAGAATGGGCAACAGAAAGTGGTGGCATGGAACTAGTGGATGTTACAGTGGATTAGGTGAAAAAAACACAAAAAAAACCCAAAAAACACCAAAACTTAATGGGCCAAGAGTCTAGAAATGAGGGAATTGTAAACAAAAGAGCCTAAATTTCTGAGTGTAATTTCTTTTAGGTATCCACTGTGGGCACATAAAAAGCACAAGGAAAGGTTAGTGGAATCAATTCTACCAAACACTTGTAGAGACGTAACACTGTTTTGATGTGAACATAACCTTGAAACAAAAACTAAAGACACCACAAAAAAGATGACAGGAAAATATTTCTGTGAACGCAGGTGTAAAAATCCTCACAAAGGAATAGGAAACAGAATTTAACAGCATATTAAGAATTCTGCAACATGACCAAAAGTGATTTATTCCAGGAATGTAGCATTAGGAAAACAATATAAGTAGAAAAAAGGGGGAGACCACACAATTCCATGGATACACAAAAAGCTCAAGCAGATTGAATGAATAAAAGGAATATTCCTCAATATGATTCAAGGAATGTATGAAAAGCTTATAATCAATGTTATACTAATAAAGAAGGATAAAACTTTCTCTTGAAATCAGGAAAAAGGTAAGTGTGGTTGTTTTCATATTTCTAGACAATATTATATGAGAAATCCTAACCAGAGCAATAAGAGAAAAAAGAAATAAAAGGAAAATAATTAAAATTCTTAATGAATCCACAAGAAAACACACTCAAAAG